CATAAACAGTCATACAAGATGTAGCCTTTGGTATTTGGCTTCTTTCACTGAGCATCACGTTGCCGAGGTGCATCCCTGCTGTAGCCCCGTACCGGTACTTCTTTCCTTTTTCTGAGCAAATGCTATTCCATGGTGTGGATAAGACGGTGTTTTGTCTGTCCCCTCGTTAGCTGATGGATGGTTGGGTTACCACTTTTTGGCTGTTGTGAACAGTGTTGCTATGAACATCTGTGTACACCTTTTCGTGTGGCCATATGTCTTTCTCTCTCTTGGGTATACCTGGGAGTTGGAATTGCCAGGCGTATGCTAACTCTGTGTTTAACTTCCTAAGGAAACCACCCAACTGCTTTCCAAAGTGGCTGCACCATTTTATTTTATTTTTAAAGGCTTGCCTTTTTTTAAAAAAAGATTTATTTATTTTATTTATTTATGATAGACATAGAAAGAGAGAGAGAGAGAGAGAGAGAGAGAGGCAGAGACACAGGAGGAGGGAGAAGCAGGCTCCATGCAGGGAGCCCGACGTGGGACTCGATCCCAGGACTCCAGGGTAGTGCCCTGGGCCAAAGGCAGGCGCTAAACTGCTGAGCCACCCAGGGATCCCCGACTGCACCATTTTATATGCCCCCCAGCAGCATACAAGGGGTTCGAATTTCTCCAGGTCCTCACCCACACGTGTTACTGTGTTTTTGATTCTAGCCATTGGGGGGCAGGGGAGGGGAGGCAGATGCGAAGTGCTATCTCATTGGCATGAACAACCGGATCTCATTCCTTTTCACCTGCTTGAGGAGGACAAGTGCTCTCGTGACTCATCCCTACCTCTCTTCCCATAGCCTTTCCCCTCTCTCCCCAGTTACGCCCGTCGCTGTCAAGCAAATTCTTATTTTTCTCACCTTAAAAAAAAAAAAAAACTGAGGATGGCTCAGTTGGTTAAGCATCTGCCTTTGGCTGAGGTCATGATCTCAGGGTCCTGGGATGGAGCCCAGATTGAGCTCCCTGCTCAGTGTGGAGTCTGCTTCTCCCTCTCCCTCTGCTACTCCCCCAGCTTGTGCCCTCTTTCTCCCTTTCTCTGAAACATAATTCCTTAAAAAACCCAACCAAACCTCTTGACCCCATCTCTTCTCCAGCTACCTTTAAAAGAATTTAAACATTTTATTTATTTATTTGGGAGACAGTGCACATGAGCAGAGGACAGAGGGAGAGGGAGAAGCAGGCTCCCTGTTGGGCAGGGAGCCTGTTGCAGGGTTCTATTCCAGGACCCCAGGATCATGACCTGAGCTGAAGGCAGGTCCACCGACTAAGCCACCCAGGTGCCCCTCCAGCTACCTTTTCATCTCCTGCCTCCCTTTTATAAAAACAAACAAACAAACAAAAAAACACCAAAAGATTGTCTCAGCTTGTTCCCAGTTTCTCTCCTTTCATTCCTGCTTATACTTTCTCCTAGAGGCTTTTGTCCCCACCCTGTCACCAGAACCATTCCTCTCAGGGTCACTGTTGCTCTCTGCATTACAGAAGCCAGTAGACTGTCCTTAGCCCTGACTTGCTGATCAGCAGCTTTTGACATGGTTGCTCACTCCATCCTCTTTCTTGATGTGGGTTCTGGTACACCGGCCTTCCCGCAGGACCCCCTTTGCTGCCTCGGCCTCCTCTTCCCCCTCCTCACTCTCTTGTGCTTTCCTGCAGCACTTCCCGATGATTCTGAGAAGCTGAGGACTCCCTGGCTCTGTCCCTGGTCCCTTCCCTTTTCTTTCTACCCACCTGGATCTCATCCAGTCTTATGGCTTTAAATGTCACCCAAATGCTGATGACTTTTAGATTACAGCTCTAGGCAGTCCCCCTGCCCCCACCCAGCTCCAAACCCCTTCATCCCACCCCCTGATAATAGGCAGCTCTGACCTGGCAAGTATTGAACTCCCGGTTCCTCCCACCAAGTCCACCAATTCCAAGTCTCAGTAAGGACAGCACCAGTCTCTCTGTGGTTTAGGTCAGACCCTTGGATCAACCTTGCCTCCTCTTTTTCTCACATCCCAGCAATTCCTGCCGCTCCTCCCAACCCACTGCCTCATGTTCCCCCTGGGGGCCAAGCTGCCACCATCTCCCGCTTGGGGCTTACAGTGGCCTCTTCACGGTGTCCTTGTTTCCACTCATGGTTGCTCACCCAGAGAGATCCTTTTAAAGTTTTGTTTATTTATTTGAGGGAGGGAGGGAGGGAGGGAAGGAGGAGGAGGAGGAGGAGGAGGAGGAGGAGGAGGAGGAGGAGGAGAGAGAGAGAGCTAGAGCACAGGAGGAGGAAAGGGAGAGAGAGAAAATCTCAAGCAGACTCCCTGCTGAGTACAGGGCCTGCTGTGGGGCTCCATCTCATGACCCTGAGATCATGACCTGAGCCAGAATCAGCTGGAGGCTTAACCAATTGAGCCTCCCGCCCCAGGAGCCTCCAGAAGATCTTTTTAAAATGCAAGTTGCATTATGCCAGTCTTCTGCTCAGAACGCTGCAGTGAAGCCCCATTTTGCAGGATCAAAGTCCCTGCAAGTGGCCTCTGAGGTCCTACAGGCTCTGGTCCTGCCTCCTACCACTGTCCCGGCCCCCTCCCTTAATCCTCCCTGGTCCTTTTCTGTTCTTCAGACACAACAGGCACGTGTTGTTTCTTCTGTCTAGAATGTTCCTGCCCAGAAACCCACAGGGCTCTCTCCTCATCTCCTCCCAGACTAGTCTCTGAGATCATGTCTGACCACTCTCCCTACAGTCACAACCCCCAGGGGCACTCCCCACCTGCTTCCTGATTTCTCCCCCCCACCACCACGCTTACCCCAGTCACATACTGTATGCTGTATGTGTTGGCCTTATGCATTATTTGTTTCCCTTCTAGACTGTGAGCACCGTAAAGGCAGGGCTTTTCGTCTGTTTTGTTCACTGCTGTATACGCAGCCTCTGAAATAATGCCCGTCACACAGTAGGTGCTGAATAAGCCTTTGTCCAATGGATGACTGGATGCCAATGGTCTGGAAGTTCTTGCAGACACTGAAGGACGGCCCCTCCCTGCTATGCCATGTGCAGCTAACAGGTGGCACTGTGACCACAGAAATGGCAGGCTCCTCGGCCACTTTTTTTTTTTTTTTTTTTCCCCAGAAATGCACTGTTCTAGATGCCCCTGCTTCGGAGGTCGACTGCCGAAAAGTGTGTATGACACTGTATGTGCTTCCAGGCCAGTCTGGTGCCTGTTTCTGGAAGGATTCCAGAGGCCCTGTCATTATTTCTGGGCTGAAGAGGTTGCCCAATCTGCCTTCCCCTTCCAGCTCTAGGCCCAGGCCATGGTGAGGTGTAGGGGCCAGGCAGCCAGCTTTACGGAACTGGCAACCGGGTGGATTTGGCGAGACCCCGGGGAATCTTTCAGAGCCCTGGCAGAGGGGAGGGCTTCCACCACCTGCCTGCTCCCTGCTCTCACCCATGGGACCTGTCCCACAGTTCCCAGGCACCCTTGTGCACCAGGGTCTGTCCAGCCCTGACCATTGTCTGCAGTCAGAGAGCCCTTCTTTTTCTCCTTGGGAGGTGAGGCAAGCTAAGGCTTCCTAGCCCTGCCTTCCTGCTGCTTCTCACCAATGACATGTAGAGGTGTGAGCAAGGACCCTGGACTCAGATCAGGACCCGATCCTGGCTCTGCCATTTGCCAGCTGGGTGATCTTGGCCAAGTGCTGAACCTGTTTGTCATCTGTCCAATGGGAGAGACGTGTCTGCAGGTTAGATGCTTGTCACACACCTGTCTGGTTCTGGGCTGAGGCAGACTGATGCTCTCAGTAAGCACTGTTCCCACCTTGAAGGCAGGTAGTGGGGGACTGACCTGGCCCCGAAATCATCCTAGGAGAGAGGGCCGGTGGCTCGGCCATTCATTGTTCATTCACTTATTCTAACAGCTGTGCAGTGTGCCTCCCGTATGCCTTGGGCTGTATAGGTCATGGGACCAAAAAAATAATTTGCTCCAACATTCAAGGAGCTAAGTATTAGTGGAAGAGACAGGACTATGTGTAAACAAGTTAAATAACAAATATGAGATAGAGCACAAGAGATGTCAGCAGGCTCCTTACAATGCATTGCTCAGTGAGCAGGACAGACCAGAAATGCTGAGGAACTGAGGCTGTTGTAGTCTGGTGAGGCCATTGCAGGCTTGGAGGTGGTGGGGAGGGGGGGTGGCAGGCAGACGGAGGCCATGGCTGTGACCCTGGCTTTGGAGGGAACCAGCCTGTGATGATGTCTGCCCTCCCACCTTTACGGTCTTCTCCCCATGGCCAGGTCAGGGTCCAGTTTCTAGTTTCCATGGGTCAGGCTGGAGGTGTCCTGCTGCCTGCCCAGGGCTGTGGCTGGTGTCAGCTGAGGCCACCTGGAGTTGGACGTAGCCCTCACCTAGGGTTCTAAGGATGGGGCTGCTGTGGACAGACACAGAGCACAGCAGGATGATGTCCTGAGCAAAGGGCAGCCTGGTCCCACTGAGGCTTGGTGGAGGTGGTGGGGGAGGCTGGGAAGGAGTCATCATGAGGATGGGGAGCTCCTCCCTTGGGGGAGGGTATCCATTATGATACCTCAGATGCTGGAGCTGTTGCCCTCCTGCAGGGAGTGTGACCAGGGGCATGTCCATCCCACAAAGTCCTGTGTAACCTTTAGAAAACAAAACCATTAAGAGCCGGTGAAAGCCGCCCTGTAGAGTGGAGGATGGATGAAAGCAGGGGTCCTGAGCACTGTCTCCTGGGGAGACCTCCACGGCTGCATCTAAGAATCCTGTGGGCCCTCCCCTTCCCCAACACATACCCAAGGCAGGAAGCCTTTGTACCCTGGGGTTAGCATTTCCGAGGGCAGAAATAGTTACACCCGCATCCAGCCCTTCTTCCTGTCTCAGAACCTGTGGTCCTCCATCCCTGCCAATGGCCAAGTCCAGCCTGTACCCGGCTTTCTATGCCAGACCATGGACTTGCCGCCACCGACCTTCTTCCTACCTTCTCCCTCCCTTATCCAGGTGCTGGCAGTGTCCCTGAGGCAACAGTGGAAGCACCAGGGAAGGAGCCAGGAGCCCTGCTGTCCCCTCGCTGACCTCCAGGCCCCTGCACCTGTCACAGCTCTCTTCCCAGAGCATCTGGGCTCCGTGGTTCCCTCCTGCTGGGGAAGCTGCCCTCCACGTGGGCACAGAGGCTGCCCTGGGCCTGGAGCGCCGGCTGCCGCTGCCCCTCTCCCTGCCAGCCTGGGCCTGGAACTGCTGCCCTGCCCAGCTGCCTGCCTGGCACAGAGGAGCTCGCCGGACCCTCTGGGGCAGCGGTGGGAGGTGAGTCTGTTTACTCCACTGCCCCACTCTCCCATGACACAAAGCGGAGCACTCACTTAGATTAATTAATCTGCTGCCCAGCCTGCTCCTCCGACCCATCTTTTATTCATGGACACGCAGCGTTCTTCGCTTTACCAGGACACGGGCATCAATATTTTATCCTGGCTTCGCTTGCCAGCTCCCCGCTCCCTCCTTCCCATTTCCTGGTGGCTCTAGGACCCTGAAGGCTGGGCATGCTGGTCTAGCCCAGGGCAGCAGCACGGTTGCCCCTGCTGCATCTCAGGCCCCTTACCTGCCCCTGTGCCAGTGGCGTGGTTGGCAGAGTCAGGCCTGACCCAGAAGCGTCTCCGAGCCAGTGAGCTGGAGGGGTAGAGGAATCAGAGGGCCGAGCCCAGAGCGAGCATCTGGCCTCAGCATTCTGAAGGGCAGAAGTACATAAGCCCTGGGAGGGTGTGTGGCTCTGCAGCTGGCACAGCAGACCTGTTAGCGTATTTTCTGGGTAACAAATTTGTCGCTGGGATGGGAGATGAAGGTTGTGTGGGGCCAGGCATAGATCTGGTCACATAGGAAGTGCTCATTTTTCTTCCCCTTTTAGACCAGGCCATCTTAGTCATTTTTCGTTTTTTTCCATCCACCTGCCACCCGCCCCCTTTCCCCAGCCTCAGCAGTTGAACGAAAGACTATTTGAAGGAACAAAGTGGTGCCGGTGATCAGGAGCACTGGTGCACCTCGCAGCCAGCTTGTAGTTCTTCTTGCTTCATTGGCTCAGGGCTCTCCAGGCTGGCAAGGAGGCACTCAGGACTGTGGGGGCTGAACTTCCCATCTGGAGGGGCCCTAAGCCGGGATCCCAGCCTGGGGCTCCCAACCTGAGGTCCGTGGAGGGCCGCTTGGATGGTTATGGACCCTTGAGACACAAAATCAAGCAAGTGTGAGTGTGTGTGTGAGTGAGTATGTGTGTGGCAGGACTGGGGTGGGTGCTGGGTGGTCACAAAGGGGTATGTTGCAGTCCTGCCCTGGAGAGCGTGTAGCCGGGATGGAAGCATTGACAGGTGGCCCTTGGGCAGGCTGTCGCACTGACTTTTATCTCAATGTGGCCTCATGGTCGAGGGCGTCTCCTGTGCTGAGCCCAGTCTGGGGGGTTGCTCTGAACACAGCTTGTGCCGTGGGTGGAGGGGATGAGACGCCATGCACCAAACCCCCAAATCCCCTGTGTTTGGTGTGGAGGCTCCCTGAGGGCCCTGCGAGACACCCCACTCCCTTCCTTTCCTCATACCCCATCCCTGATCCATCAGGACATCCTGCCTGCTAAACCCCCAAATCCATCTGGAATCCGAGCACTTCCACCGTCTGCTGCCACCCTGTCTATGCCCACTCTGTGTGTGGCCTCTGCACGGCCTCCTGCTCCTGCCCATGTCCCCCTGCGGTCTCTGCTCAGCACAGCCACTGTGACCCCACCTGGCCGCAGCTGCTCTGCGGCCTTCCCAGCTCGTGCCTGGCTCATGCGTGCTGGCCACCTTGACCCCACATGCCTGCGGGCTCCACCTGGGGCCTCTGAGCTCTTACTTTCCCCAGGTGGCCTCCTGGCACACTGTGTCACCTCCCTCAAGTCTCTGTGGAAATGTCACTCTAGCCCATCCCTCAACCATCTTTTTCCTCCCTGATCCGTGTCCCCTTGTACCAGACCAGTGACTCAGCTATGTCTCTTTACTGTCTGTCTCCTGCCATGCAGTGGAAGCTCCCTGGGGTAGGGATTTTTATATCTCGTTCACTGATCTGTGCTAGAGTTGTGCTCATGAGCAGGAGCTGGCGGGGTGAATGAATGAATGAATGGTGAATGAATGAATGAATTCCCCACCACATTACTCCATGGCCCATTTAGGACAGCCCACAGATGATACTTTTTTATCCTCAGGTCTAAGTACCAGAAGAACCTTAGCTTGTGTTGAGACACCAGTGTTCATTCATTTATTTATTCAGTGTATTTATTGAGCACTTACTATGTGCTGGATCCCATCCCACGTGCTGTGGAGACCACGATGAATAAAATAGGGCAACACCTCCTGTTTTCCTGTGTTAAGTGTTTATCTCACGGATCCCAAGGGGCTCGTCACAGATCTTGTTAGTCTTCCCTTCTGGGAACAGTTTTGGCTGCCCCCATGCCCAGCGCTAATTTTGTGAAATTTTCTGAGTACTAAAGCTGCCCCTCTGAGCTCACCTTGTTATTCTATTTTTCTTCTCCTTGTGTCTCAACTGTTTTTAATAGAAAAGGGAATGTTTCTGGCCCAGAAGTCTGGGAAGCTGCCGGGGACCCAGATTTTCTCAGGTCTCTCTCTGGAGTCTTTCTCGGACACTATCTGTGGACACTATCGCCTCCATCTCTGGGGCTTTGCCACCTGCCTCCTCCTTGTGTCACTTGTGGACCAGCTTCCCCATCCTGTGGCTGAAGATGAGGCCCCGCCACTATTTTGCTTTGAGGAAATGGTCCATTTATATGTTTAATCTTATTTTTTAAAAAAGATTTTGTTTATTTATTTGAGAGAAGGAGAAAGCAAGCACGAGCAGTGCAGGGGAGGATGGGAGAGAGAGAAGTAGGCTCCCCACTAGCAGGGAGCCCTATGCGGGGCTCAGTCCCAGGACCCCAGGATCATGACCTGACCTGAAGGCAGATGCTTAACCGACTGAGCCACCCAGGCGCCCCTATATGTTTAGAGTCTTGTATGCCTTCTTTCAAAGTGCTTCAAGATCTTGTGGCAGCATAGTGGATGCCTGTAGAGGTGTGTGTGGGGCGGGGGGCTGGGGCAGGGCTAGCTCTGACCAGAGGACGGAGTAGAGATGGAAAATACCCCAGAGAGAGGAAGAGGAGGGTGACAGACGTCCTGCGTGGGGGGACAGTCTTTTGTTGCTACTCCTCCTGACAGGCCCTCTATAAGAGTCAGCATGATTTGATCAGCCTCCAACAGACTTTTATCACCAGTCTGCTGTCTCTTGATAAGTTCCTTCTCCCTGGCCCTGCCTAGACAGTCTTGGACTTCACAGCCTCATTTGCAGATAAAGTCACTGCCCCTTTGACTGTTGGCCTCCTATCACAGTGGCTGGGGCGACCCCTGCATCCGAAGTTTCGTGCCAGGAGAAGGGATGGATGGGTATGGGGGAGGCAGGAGCAATTGGCACAGAGGGCCAGAAGCAGGGGACACTCAAGGTGGGGTGGTTGGATGGCTGGGGTGGGTGTGGGGTGGAAGGAACCAGGCAGAGGTGCTGCCCAAACAGCCGTGTGCCACAGGCATGCCTATGTCTCTCTCCCTTGAACCCTCCCTGCCACCGTCAGTACCTTGGCTTTGTGCCACACTAACCAGACAGTTGAGGGTAGGGGAGCAGGTGTGACCAAGAGAGCAAGGGACTTTGGCCTGAAAGCTAGAGGCAGAGGCATGCCCCCCATCCCTGGATCTGGAGTTCTCACTCTGACCCTTAGCCCCACCTCACTCCATGGTTCCCCCACCCCCTGGCCCACACCACACCCCCGGGTTTGAGAAGAGGAGCCTACAGTAGGGGAGGCAGCTTCCTTGGTGCCACCACTGGGGCTGTAAGGTGTAGTGGCCAACTGATCATGTGCCTTTGAGCAAGTTCTGTGGCCCCTCTGTGTCTCAGTTTCCCCATATGCATATTAGAAAAAATAGTACCTATCTCATAGGATTGTTGTAAGGATTAGATAATTTATATGATGAAGAATTCAGAAGAGTACTTGCATATAGTCAGCGCTCAGCAAGTGTTAGCCACTATTATTGTAATTTAAGAATTCTAGATGTTTCTTCCCACCCCTGTATTTCCTCCATATATGCAGAGCCTGAAATTCATCTTCCACTTAATCCTTTGAATGATAGTTTCCCCAAAGGCTTTCTTTTAAAAAATACAGAATAGCACCTGACAGCGTGAAGGTCAGGAACGAGGACTTGAGGCCTGGCTCTGTGCCTTGTGTGCTGTGTGATCTTAGGCAGTTCCACTGCCTCTCTGAACTGTGATACCTCCTCTTTAGGTGAGATGACAACAGACCTACCTGCAGGGTTCTTGTGAAGACAAAATGAGACCAAGTGTTTCAGACACTCAGCACAGTGTGTGGCATGACACGAGTGGTCAGGAAATACGAGGCTGTCACTTTCCCAGGTGCTTGCCATGCATCATTGCATCAAAGCTGGCCTCACCTCTGAGCTGTAGTGTAGGGCTCACCCTGCCCCGTCCAGGTGTGGAGATGGAGGTGGAGAGGGGGGAAGAAGCTTTCTGAGCAGGACTGGAACTTGGGCCTGCTGGATCAGGCCAGTGCTCTCCTGAGGCCTCAGAGGCCTGGCACATGTGCTCTTTGCGTGATGGGGATAATTAGGTGCTTTGCCTTAACCTGAGGCTGGGGTGGGGTGGGGAGTGGGCCCACAGGGCAGTGACTGGAGAAGCCCTGGAAAGGGCCAGGAGGGTGGTGGTAGCATGTGAGCTTATGAATACTGTAGGGGGGTGGAGGTGGGTTGTGCATTGGGAAACAGCCAACCTGCCACTTTACAGATTTGTCCCAACTCAGCCCTGCTCTCTGCCTCTGAGCCCCCCACCTCTATCTGTATTGCCCCTGCCTCTTTGGGGCCTGGCCTATGGGCTTGGGAGGCCCTAGAAATAGAGCCTGTCCACAGGGCTGGAAGCTGGGGTGCCTGCCGCCCCCCCAGGGTGTGGCCTTTTCTGATGCCTACAGGCCTCAGGAGGGATAATGACTGGCCCCAACACAGAGAAAAGCTTTAGACATGATCTCATTTTTCCCTGAGATTGTGAGGGAGGGAAAAGTGCAAGTAACAAGTAGTCCATCTAGACTGAGCAGGGGAAAAAAGCAATTTCCTTTTGAAATCTGTTTTTCTGATTCTTGAAAGATGCAATTTGGAAATGTGTTGGTGGCTCTGTCTGGGGTGTGGGCCAGGCCACCTACAGGGCATTGGGGTGGGGACCTAGGGGGGTGGTTAGGGAGTAGGGAG